TGTACTTTTGAGTTAAAATATATATTTATAATTTTAATAAATGACAAATTAAAAAGGCATGAACATTTTTTTGTATCGAAAAAATATCGAACCGTGACACCAAAGTATCGAACTGAACCGTGAATTTTGTGTATCGTTGCACCCCTACTAGTTTCTTAGCATCACTGAGACAGGATGTTCCTAATTTTATAGTACAAGTACAGACCGAAGGAAGGTTGGAAATGCATGACTGTTTTTACCCTTCTCGTCTCCCCAGCCGGTGACAAAGCACGGCGTCCCAGCAGGCATCACGACCCCAGGTTTCGGCAAGCAGATGGGGCTGATCTCTTTTCTCATATTGACAGGTTTGGCCAAGTGAACCAGGGCTATGTCGTTGGTGATGTCATTGGGATCCTGCTCGTAGACAAATCCTTTGTGGCGAATGATGGTATCCACCTTGTAGCATTCCTCAGCTGAGGGAATGTCCATGGAGGAGTTCATGTGGTGCTTCCCCAGGCACATGCGCCAGAAGGAGGGTACATTCAGTGGGCTGGAAATCAAGTGAAAGATAAATGTGAAGGAGACAGAACAGGTTTTTATTTTTTCTTCAGCTTCTCTTTTAGCTTTGGCTGACTTTACTAATGATTGAATCTAAAAGGTCTCTACAGTTTCGTCTGATTTCTACAGTCATTGATCGGCACTGATTACTCCAGCTACTTCCTAACTTTAGCTTTTGTATGAACAAAGCACACATAACTGTATGTAAGGGTTAAACTCATTATAACGAGAGCTATAAAGCTGAGGGAAGATACAGATTCAGGTGATATCTCCCATTTCTTTACACTTTCATTTGATGAATTGTAACTTCAGATTTATCAGGTATAATCACTTTCAAAAACTGTGCTATTTAAATTCCTATAATTTAGATAGTTTTGTAGTTATATCTTACAACATGAAACAGTGAGCAGCAGTCAGGATCCATTCTTCATGAATCAAAGAGCCTCCACAGCCATGCATATAAGGTATAGGAGAGAACGGTGAAGCCTAAAAAGAGAGACATGAATATTTATAGAAGAAAAGATCTGCTCTGTCACTGACTGTCATGCAGAACAGGAGCTGACAGTACCTGCATAGAGACTTGCCAGGGCCAGGAGTGGGGGATTGCTTCTACACCATTTACAACTCTCACAGTGGCTGTGCTAGGTTTCACCTCTGGGTTTCCACAATTTTCTGGCCAGACTGGGAAAAGAAAGTGCACCATTTATTATAACATCTATACCAGTCATACAGTAAATATATTTTAAGTAAAGAATAAATGAGAAAAAAACCCAGTAGCATAGCTTCTTTAAACTACAACATCAGTTTTTCTTACAGTAAAAGATAGATACAGTAAATTTAAGCATTACAGTGTAATACTGTCAGCTTGGTTACCATTATACTGTTTTTACCTGTGAAATATAACTGCATGCCCCAACACCCAGAGGCTTGTGTCAGTCTCTGTATTTTGGTGAACTATGAAAGGATATCAGCTGTGTCACAATTCTCCTACTCCTTGTGCCAGACAGGCATAAAACTGCTGCTGTTTTCAACATTGGACCAACAACCACTCTGAAGGTGAACTAGGCAGATGTGATTGACAGCGGCAGGAGTCTCATTCAGTGATGCCAAACCTTGCAGGTCTAAACCTTAACACCACAATGTTTAGTCTGTAAACTGAAATTACAACTTGTAAATTAGTGATTTTAAACATTTGTGTTCATTTATATTTGCGTCAAATACACAAATAAATTAGGAAGAAATTTTCAGTGGGTTCAGATTGTTATTTGTATCAGTATTTACAGAATTTACCTGTATTTGCAAAGAACATCACAAATGTAACATTACAGTTTGCAAAAACTCAGGTTGCAGTTAACTCTCAATTCAAGTGCATAATCCTAGCTACAGTGGCTGCCATTCAATCCATATCTGTTTACGCTGGATGAGGCTGTCAAACTTTGTGAAAAGAGTCTGATATAAATAAATAAGAAAGTGAAACTCAATTCTGTTAATGACAGCGATACTGAAGAACTTTTCTGTCAGTAAGCACTGCTGTTTGTCTTTGTTAGCTACTAACAAAGACAAAAACAGCTTAGCTTAGCTGCTGTTAGCCCTTGTTAGCTAATGCTACATACTGTTAGTAAAACTTTCTTTAAAGTGGATCTTATATTTCTTGGACTATATATAAAATTTGCCTCCATTTCACATAAAGGGCTACAAGTTCCTTTCTTCTCTGACTGTGGTGTATTACTATGTGGCTAGTATCTAACCCCATACATATACGTCATTAGCTTTAATGACGATCTGTCTCAGCCCTTATATTCAAGATGGCGGGCAACATGGTAGCTTCCACAAACCAATTAACACTCGATGTATTTTTAATGATAATTTCAGAATTTATGACCATGCATTAATTGTTGCAAAATGCAATTACACACTAATAAATGTAAATCTATGAGTAAAGTATTTTTTTTTATTAAATAACCTAAAAAACTATGGCTGACTGTACCTTTAAAGTATCTTTATAGCAGTTTTTTTACAGTGTATGTCTACACTCACTGATGGTGATGTTGTCCCATGGATTACTAGGGAGAGGTGGTAGAGTTGGGAAGATACTGGTGTCAGTAGTCCAGTAACCACGGAAACCCTTCTCTTGGCTGGCTCCATTACTAAGGAAGCGGATGACGACTGTGTTACTAGGGATGTTGATGAGGGGTGGAGGGGCAAATCCGCAGAATCGACCTGCAGAATAGAGGAGAATAAATTATAGTTTTCCACCATTGTGCGTTATGTGACCTGAGACATAAATTGTGGACGGTATTTAAAGTTCGGAGACGCACCGAGTGATGCCATCGTTTCACCATTGATGACCTCCACATAGTCCATACAATTTCCTAACAGGTTTACAGCTTGCAGCTCAAAGTGAGTGAAGGCTACATGAATACTTCTTGATGAAGGAACGTTGATGCGCCACGTGCAGACAATCTGGGCTTGGTAGTCATTAGGCCAGTTAGGAGAAGTAATTTCACCCTGATCACTGCTGAAAGTCCCTCCACATGGAACTGAAGTACAACAAGAAGAAACAGGAGGGAAGGGAATAGAGTTTGAAAAGAGGAAAGGAGAAGATTTAAAAATATTATGAAAATTAGATATTTAAAGCTTTACATTTTTAAAATTTCCCTCGCAGTCTTATGTTATCTTACCTTCTGTAGCGTCCACTGCCCTCCAGGTGGCAGTGAAGCCTGAGTCAACCACTTTGTCGTTGGAGGAGAAACTGATGTGAAGCGTATTCCCATCACTCACCATGTCTGCAGGAGGCACGTGACTGCAGTGGGTACCTGAGGTAATATGAAAATGTGTTAGAAGCTCTGTCCTAGGAGTTCATTTCATAATAAAAATTCCCCCCAAAAACTGCAGATATGTGTTTGAGACATTTAGGGCTGATCACATGTGACACCACTATCTGTTCAGTGCTATGCCTGGCAAACTGATTAATGGCACTTTACTACACAGTAAAAAAGGGTTATTTGAGTATATATTCTATCTCAATAAGGTGCTTGTACCAGTCTGTTTAATGCCATGGTTCTTTAGCACATGGTGGTTATATAACTGAGTGGCATTCTGGAAGTGAAAGCTCCTTGTGGGGGTCAAAGGTTTTTCTTTTATTTGTTACCGGTCTGTAGGTATTTTTACTTGGGTAGAGATTTATTTGTCTACTTTGGGCTTCTGGTTGCCATGCATGCTATGCAGATGTTCAATTTTTTTTAGCCTGACAAATTTTAGGTTTTATCCTGACATCACAAATGATCAAACTTTAGACATTATAATGATTGGTTACATCACTGTCATTGTGTCACAACAACAAGAGGCTGCACTGACTGTGCTGAAATGTCTGCGCTGGTGTCTAACATGGAAAGAAGGCAGATCCTCACATACCCAGACTTCCTGTTTTGTCTGAGAGTCTGACTTTGTCATTTAGGCACAAATCACTCTCCTCCAGAGAGAAATTGTGGAAATGGAGGTGAACCAATTTGCCTTCAGGCACTTGAATGTTCCACTGGCACTGGGCTGTGTTGCTGTAGGTGCCAGGGTAACCCATAGAGGACAGAGTGCCACCAGTACCAGTCAGGTCCTTTGGTCCCCCACAGCCTGATGCTACATAGAGAAGACAGAGAGAGAAAACTGGCATTACACTTTGACTTTGTCACATATTGTCACAGTGGGGAAACGAAGTATGTTTAAAGAGCTGGATTCATACTGTGCTCATTGTAGAGGTGTCGGCGGATGACATTTGTTATCCACGGGATGTAGGCAGAAGAGCGGGTGAACACAGAAGGCTTCTTATCCATAATGCATCCAATAGGGCCAAAGCTAGTTATGCCATGAACTTCCCATGGATTGCCAATTTTATCCTGGCAAACCAGGGGTCCCCCTGAATCCCCCTGTCAAGAGCAGAACATTAAAACACTAGTGGTTTTGTTGTTCTTTTAAAAGATTAGATAAGATAACTTTATTTAGTCCCACACTGGGGAAATTCACCTGTTAGAACCTGACAAGAGTCAAAAGGGAAAGTGAAATCAAAGCCACACTACCAAGAATAGTTAAATCCAAAGTTATTTATCCTGAGTGAGAGGATGTTGAGAGGTGAGAGGTGTTGTCTGTAATGGACATTAGCTTGGCTATCATCCTCCTCTCACCCACCTCATCTATGGAGTCTAGGGGACTGAACTGGAAAGAGCTGGCCCTCTTCCCCAGTCCATTAAGTAGCTTCCAGTTTCTCTCTGTGCTCCCATCTCACCAGCAATGCTGACCAAAAGACATCAGCCTGCCCAACAGATGGAGTCTTTAGCCCTTCTTGTACAGAAATTGAGCGTTATCCGACCAGACCAGTTTACTGTTAAGATAAACCTCAATTTATGGCCGCAATATAGCTCCTCTTATAGTTCTTCTTTTACCTGACAAACAGACTTGAGCTCATCAGGCAGTGTATAACCACAGCAGATCATGGAGGTCTTGACCTGGAACCACCAGTAATCCATCCTGTTACAGGTGTCATAAGGCACCACAGGCAAGGCGACCTGGTTGAGCGCTTCTGCAGCTTTAGGGTTAATTGAATTACCTGATAAACACACAGAGTCATTTCAGTTGTTACAGAAGCCTCGAGATTGACGCAGGAACATTAAAAAAGAGGCATTTACACATTAAATCCAGCAGAGGGCATGCTAAATATACAATTCTGAGGTGATGCAGTTCTAGTTCTTTGTAAATAAATATCACTTTAACACAGCTCTGAAACATCAGGCTACAATTATTTTATCAGAGGCTGCTAATGAACATGACAAGACAAAAACAGCACCAGTTTCATCTCCCCAGCCGGTGGCGTAGCACTTCTTTCCCTCAGGTAGGGCTTCCTCTTCAGATGGAAGGCAAGCAAATGATATCTCATCAGTGGGTGTCACCTCTCCATCCAGTCTGACCAAGGCAATGTCAAACTCCACCGAGGGCACTGTGGGGTACTTGAAGCCCTCGTG